CTCATCTGGCAAGCTGTTGGGAGGGAAGGACACACTGGCTCTCTAAGGAGCTTGAGAGCTTGGTCCAAGAGAAGGGAAATGGGCTTCAGCCATCAGACAGTGTCTAGCCTGGTACGGATGCAGGAAGGATGACCAATCCTCCTGCTGGATTGTTAACAAGAAGCCAGAAGACTTTAGCCCCAGGTACTGTGGGACACACTTCCTGAGCCTGCCCACTGGTCTCAGAAGCTTTGATTGACAGACTCTGTCAATCCCCATTTTGTGCAGAGACGTTGCATTATGGAGCAGTGTGTCAACTTTTCCACAGCCATATGGCACAAATAGCCCAAGAGTTAGGTTTCCTGCCTCCCAGCCAAGGGAGGCAGTTTTCAGCCCTCTCGCCTCTTTCCCAGCACTCTTCTGATACAAGTGTCACCCACCAAACATCCAAAAAATTCTAGGGCCCAGCACGGCTCTGGCTTTCAACTCAAGCTGGCAGACAATTGGTGACATGAGATGGAGACCTTCCCAAGATGGGGTAGGATGGCAGCCAAGAGGGACACACGTGGCTTCCCCTGTCAGCGTCCTCTGCTGGAGAGAAGCAGACACCAGACAACCCTGACATGTGGTAGAGGAGTCTCCCCCTGGGGCACTTCCATCCAGACACTGGCTGACTAGGGTGGCAACAGACATCACACCTGCTCATTTCAGACTGGCAGTGAAAATGATGGCATGGCTCAAGCCTGACAAGTACCCCATGCCCTGATGCCTCCTTTCAGCAAGTCTGAGACAGTGTGAAAGGCCTAGGGCCACTTAAAACAGCCAGAAAAATAACTACCTCCCCACAGGCATGGCTGCCAAGGAGTTTATCGTAAAAGGGGAAAGGAGCTCTCTCAGCCCGAGAGACACAACAACAAAGCAAAAAAGCAAACAAAAACAACGTATGGGACAGGAGGGGTGGGAAGGGGGGGGGAGACAGAGATACCAAGATAGAGAGGCAGAGAATTAGTTTAACAGTAAATGTAAGATACTAAGTTGAGTTTTATAAACTCTACTGGAAATCACTGAAGAGGGATAAACGCAAAGCCAGGAGGAGTGGCCAATCCTTGGAGACATGGCATGTGGACTCTGCTGGACCAGCTGTCCAGGATGACTGGATTGCTGTTGATGGGCACAGGCCTCCAGGGATCTCGGCTTTGGATGGTGTTGCCATGGCCTGACCACAGTTGTTTACATCTGTTCCTTGGAGTGCCATGTTCCAAGCCCTATGCTTCAGAAACCTAGCTGGTCCCCTGAGAAACACAAACAGCCCAGCCTTTAGAAGAATCCTCTTAGCATCCATCGTCAGAAGGCACTCTGTGACACTGTGTAGGAAGAGTCTCAGAAGGCATCACAGCAGTAATCTCCTGTGCCAGCCCCTACCACCTGTTTCCCTTGGATACAGTCATGTGCATGGGTACCTCTCCCACATGTTGGCATGAGCCCTAAATGATATCCTGTGATTGAATTCTAAGAGTCCCTGTGCTAGGGCTCTTCTACCATTGTCTATTTTGGTCACAAACACAGCCTTAGATTTCTCTTCTCTCCTTCTATGTCCTCTCCCTCCATTTCTTCTTTCTTTTCACCCCCATTTCCCCTGATTTGCTGCGTATTGAACCCAGGGCCTGACTCATACAGCAGCATAGTGCTCTCCCATGAAGCCACATCCCAGCTTTTCCACCCTTCATTCCTGAGACCACTTGGGTGTGCTGCAATTTTGGATATTTTTGTGGGTGGGTGGGTGAGTGGGTGAGTGGGCAGCTGCTTCTCTTGGATGACCATCACATGGGCATTGCATCATATATCCTCATCTTTGGAGTGTGCTTTCTAGAATCTGTTTGCTCTACCCTAAGCACGGCTACTGAATTTTCCAGAAACTACGCCCAGAGCATCAGTCCTACAGAAAACCATTCACCAAATCCTGGGACCATCACTATTGTCTCCATGGTAGTGGAGACAGTGGATTGAGTGACTGTCAGGAAAGCTGATGTCAGCAGAAGCTGACCAGCTCCAGCATCCATGATGAAATACCTCAACAGTAGCAACTGAGGCTGCTTGTTACAAGAGAGGTGGAATAAGCACCCGCCACACACACACAAAACGTGTAGTTTCTAAATCTTCAAAGGACCCTGAAGACTACATTCTTCATTGAAGGCTGAGCACAATAGTGTCCTACCCACCACACTTAACACCATCATAGGAAAACAAATAGGATACCCTTCGTCCTGTTCTACCTGTAATTTTAGGGGGAAAGTCCCTAGAGCAATGGGATGAGACCAGGGGAAATTCACATGTGTAAAAGCATCCTGTAAAATACACATAGAGCGGTCATAAAGGTCCAGCAGGGTCGCCAGGGCTGAGACCCAGCAAGATAAAAGGAATGGCTTGGATATTGTGCAAACCGGCAAAGGGAACTGGCTGCAGCAGAATACAGCATGAATAGACAGGAAAGGACCAGGCTTGGGATGTAGTTCTGTATAGAGCAGCTGTTTAGCATGCACCAGGCCCTGGGTCCAATCCCTGGTGCTGGGGAAAATATGTTAGGGGTAGGGATAAGTGAGAGAATAAAATGCATAGAAAAGTTTACTATGGATGCTTGGATCTTATATGAGAGCTTGAGAAAGGCATGTACTCAGTGAAGAAGAGCTCAGATATGCATTAATAAATAGAAGACAGAAAAGCTGAGCAGATATGAAACCTCAATGCAGAGGAGACGGAAGCTTGTCAGGAGCCCAGCACTGGCTGCTTTTCTCCTCTCTGTGCTCTGACAGGGCAGAGAGGTTTGTATTGAAAAGATGTCGTTCTCCACAGCAGGGAAGTCATAGCGGAACAGAACTCAGGGTGATTCCTGGCTGTGGAAGTGGGAGCATGACATGAAGCTGCTTGCATGTATCTCTGTGGGGCAGAGAGGGTGTCCGGCTGGGAACAGAGACAAAGCCATATCATGTAAGAACCATACCTATGGTATTATGTCTACCAACTAGGCTCTGTGTCCAGAAGGTTCCACCCAACCCAACTCCCAACTCACACCCACTCCTCCAGACACCTCAAGCATGTGAGCTCTAGAAGGGTATTTTACATTCTAGGCTAAAATTCAGTGCCTGGTAAGACAGAAAGCATGAGGGGGACAAGGTGACTATAGGAAAGTGGCAAATTTCCATTTGTCAAGTTGACAACAGATTGTAAAGGCCTGATGTATTACACTTGGGGTATCTGCCCAGCCCCCCTCCTAACAGAATGGCATTTTATCCTGTAGAGCAAGAGCCTTGCAGAAAATTTGTGTCAGGAAGTCTTGCTTCCTTTGCATCTTAATTAGGTTTCTATTACTGTGATAAAATACAAGGAACAAAAGCAACTTGAGGAGCAAAGGATTTATTTCATCTTACATTTCCTAGTAACAGTCCATCATGAAGGAGAGTCAGGGCAGGAACCAAAGCAGGAATTGATGCAAAGCCAATGAAGGAGAGCTGCTTACTGCCTTGCTCCCTAGGGCTTGCTCAGCCTGCTTTATAGCACCCAGGACCATTATCCCAAGGTGGCACTGCCCACAATAGACTGGGCCCTTCCACATCAATCGTCAACCAAGAAAATGTACTGCAGGCTTGCCCACAAACCAATCAGGAGGGGCCATTTTCTCGATTGAGGTTCCCTTTTCCAGAACTATGCTAGCTTTTGCCAAGTTCACAGAAAATTAGACAGCATACTTGGCAACAGCTAATCAGGTAGAGCCATGGTATAGATGGCCAATGGAAATTCCCTGGGAATACAAACCTGGCTTCATGGATGCAGTCAGTCTATGACCCTCACTGACCCTGCAGGACACCTACATTTGTTCACTGCTATGGAATAACCTTTTTGTACACTTAAAGATGTGTCTCTGCCTAAGGCACCTTCTGATTGGTTTAATAAAAAGCTGATTGGCCAATAGCTAGGCAGGAGAGGATAGGTGAGATTTCCTGGCAGAGAGAGGAACAAGCTATCAGACTCAGAGCAGGTTGGATGTGTCATACTGGGAAAAGGTTAAGAGCCATGTGGCAGAATGTAGGTTTAAAACTATGGGTTAATTAAGTTATAAGAACTAACTGGAAACAAATCTAAGCTAAAGGCCAAGCTTTCATAATTAACAATAGCTCTCCCTGTCATTATTTGTGAGCTGGTGGTCCTAATGAAACAGTACTACTATGGGCCTCTGCAGGTGGGCATCTTCTGCTCTAATGTAAGGAGGTACAAAGAATGTCAGCTTAACAGAGAAAATCCAGACACGCAGAGATGGCCAGAGCAGAGGGCCCATCTGGCCACCAGACAGAGCAGCTGCCTTAGTTCTAGACAGCAGTGGAGCATCTGGTTCCATCCTTGGAGACAGAGCTCTTCCACTGATGTTCTTGAGACCTTCCTGACTTTATGCTACCCTTTTCTCCTCACTGAGTTTATTCTGATACAAAATTCCAATTTTATTTTCTAATCACGAAACTTCTAGGTCAAATGAAAAAGCCTAGACATTATTCTATAAGGTGTAGAGTCAGTACACCTTATAGATAAGGTAAGCAGAAATTCCTCAAACCTACTTAAAGAACTTAGAGAAATGTATCTGATGAGCATCTGCCATGTGATGGCCACTTGGGCAACTCAACAAATGGGCTTTGGATTTATTTTCTGTTGAGAATCCAGATAGGTTGTCTACACTACCCATGACCTAAAATCTTCCTGCCTCAACCTCTCAAGTAGCTGAGACTCCAGACATAGCTCTCACCACTCTCAACTAATAAGTGGGTCTTGAATTAAAAAGTCAGTTTCAGACTTGAGTCATGTGTGTGTGTAACACCACCCTACTGCCCAATAAGAGAATGAAGAGTCATGAAAAGAAACCCTTGGTATCTCTCCCTATTCTTCCTGAAACTCAAATGATCTAGTATGCAGAATATTTTTCCTCTATATCATATGTTTTTCAGGATATGTGTATATATGATATAATAGTGTTTGAATGGTACAAATGTCAATTTTAATGGAATCTCCTTGTAATGTATGGGCATTACAGATAGGCATAATACACTTCCAAGTACTTCAATGACAAATGCATAAACATAAAAACACACATGGAAAAATACTGGTGTGGGCATCTACACATTTTCTTTCAAATAATATGTCATTTCTCAACTCTTCCTTATTATCTTTGTTTAGAGACTGTAAAGAAAAAAAGAGTCATGGACACAGTTAAACTAGAGAATTAGCACATAAAAACACTGTGCCAGGGAGACATGAATGAAGAGTGAGGTTTTCACCTGACAAATAAATGGCACAGAGATGTTACTACAGTCTTAATAATTGACTGACCCATCCCCAAATTTATTCCGGCACACTATCCCTAATGTGATGATATAAAAATATGGGACTTTAGCAGAAATGATTATATCCTAAGAATGGCACCCTCATCAATGGTATTAGTGCTCTATAAAAGGGGATTTGGGGGCTCTGTGTGAAAACATGGAAAAGGAAAGGAATTGCAATCTAAGATTTGGTGGACACTCATAAGACTCAGTTGCTGACACTCTGGCTTGGGGTTGCAAATAACATAACCACAGTAGTAACTTTCTGTTGCTTATAAATGACCCAGCTTATGATTTCTGTTTCAGCATTACTCATGCTCTCAGGTATCTGCCCTTACTAATGATAGTGCCACACAATGAGCCTATGGCCCTAGGAACCCCCGTCTGTCATGAATGTATGCTTTGGCCTTTCCTATTTTTTGGTACAACTTCATTATCCCTTATCTAAAATGCTTTGGACTCGGTGGGTTTCAGATATTGATTTTTTTAGAATTTAGAATATTTGTATTGACTGTAAAATCTAAAATGTAAAGTCAAACACTTTTTAGATTTCATGTCATCATGTTTCAGATTTGGGAGCATTTTGTTTGGTTTGCTCTGTTTATTTTGTTTGTTTGTTTTAGATAGAGGCTCCAGTAGCCCAGGATGGTCTTGGAATTGCCAAGTAGTGGAGGATGATCTTGAACTCCTGGGATTGCATGAGTGGTCACAACTCCTGTGCTGGGGATCATATCCAGGACTTCATGTATGATGAGTCAGCACTTTACCAATTGAGACACATCTCCAGCATCAGTTTTGGAGCATTTCTTATTTTCGATTTTCAGACTAAGGATGCTCAACCCCATATGAAGTGTGAAGTTTCCTTTTCTGTGCATGTCATGTTGGATTTCTGCTGCACACAATGGAAAGAGTCTTCCTAAGGACCTGCAAGAGGCAGAATGTCATCAAGCAGGTCATCTTTATCATGGGGCAGGTTCACAGGAAGACAAAATGCAGTGAGCACAACACAGCAGCCCTTGCAAGCTGGTTTCACTGTAATTCCTTATTGCCTGAGAGCAGAGGGCAGCCTGAACATGCAGTGTCTAAGAAGTTTCTCTGCAGCTCAGAGCAGGACAGACACCTCTGCCAGACGGTCTTACAGTTGTATTGAATCAACTGTAGAACTCTTAGGGATACAGAGCTTGCTCCCATCCTGAAGAAGTAAGACATGAGAAAATCAGCCCACACAAACCTCAAGCAGCAAGCACCTTGATCTAGAAGCTGAGCCTCTTCAGGCTGGCCCAGGACAGCAAGAACTTCTGAAAGATTTCACTGCCATTTCTTGGGGCTGTGGCCCCTTTGGCATCCATTTTTGATCTTTGACTCTTAATGGCCAGCATCAAAGTCTCATGGCTGGCAGCAGGCAGTGCTTCAGATCTCCCAATATAAACAGAGGCCATAGTCACCACCACCTAACAGCACTCACCTAATGCTGGTTTTTCCAAACAAATGGAAGCAGTGGAGGAATTGAAGACTAGCCATGTGATATTTTTATAGAGTAAGGTATTTGTAGGGTAATTGTATTCTGCATTCTCGGAGAGAGAGAAAAAACAATCATTTAATTATGGCCTAATATTAACTAGCTCAAAACTTCTCCAATCTCCTCCCAACAGAGCCTCTCAACTTCCAAATGACTTCAGCGGCTTCCACACAAGCTGCTCTATGTCTGGGGCATCAATTTGATTTACGGAGCATTTCAAAATATTTATATATTTTTTTAGGGTTTCCATCATAGCCTCAGCCAGTAACCTGCTGTGTTTGAAAATGTCTGGGCAGTAATTGTCATTGTTTGCAACAGCTATTTTGGACCCTGGAGAGTGCCGTGGCATTTTGTAGAATCTAGGAATGCAATTACCAACGTTGTATACATAATCCAAGTGGTCTTCTGGCTTCAGAAGCTCCACCCCTAGGGGGAAAAGGGACAACAGCAAAACGTTTGTTTAATTTTTCTCCTGTAGTTGGTCAGTGGTAGGTGGATTATATTATGGTCAATTTGGCAAAAAAGATGATTAGTGTAACAATTCCTTATAAGTACAAAACAATGTTGAATTAAACAAGGGCGAAAAAAATATGCCAGGGTGAAGGGCTCTTCTGACCCAGGGTCATATCTAAGTGTCTGGGGAAGAAATCAGATACCACGGGATGTCTGGGTCCTGGGGTGACTCATCTTTCATGATGCAAGAGATTGTTCTGTACCAGTTAAAGGAGAGAGCTGCAGTGCCACTTAAAAATGAGCCGCTAACAGTTAGGGCCTTTGTGTTTAAAGGGGAAAAAGACAAACCCCTATTCAGTAGGCGAGAGGCCATTTTGGATGAACAGGTCAGTGTGCAAGTTCCCCCTTCTCATTGGGGATTCAGGCTTCTTAGATCTTATCAAGTTTTGAGGGGGTCGGGTTACTCCCAGATTATTTCTTCTCTTCGGTTTTATTTATGTAATTTTTTTCTCTTAGATGTTATCTGTAGACTGCAATGCTAACACCCTCTCATAGTGTGAAACAGGGTCCTTAGAATGAAATAGAGTTCGGAAACAATCTCTGGACTTCAAGTGGACGAGTGGTTTGAGTAACTCTGAATCAGGTTTTGTTAAGAACGGTCTTAAAACTTTAAACAATAGTCTGGTCGTGTGGAGGTGCCTGCGCTTGCATCATACATCAGTGGTAGGACACAATTTCAACAAATGGGAACCTCCACCCCACCCCCACCCCCGCCACGGTCGACCCACACCGGGAGTCCATCCCATCAATAAAAGGAAAGGAAGCCGAGGAACCACTCATGACTATTTTGAGTGCCTTCTAGGCTTTGCCCATCTCCTGTTCCTCTCTACTTGTGCCTGTGGAGTGCTGGGGCCGTAATGCCCAGGAAAGCAGCCTCCACCTCCCATCCCGCCCCCGGGATTTAGCACTTTATGGGTAACTTGCTCCTAGCTACATGGGCCCTTTGATGTCAGGTTCGCTTTACAGCTGGCTTTTAGACCTCCAAGAGGTCTCGGGTCAACTACAATGAAGCCCGCCCTAGGGTCCTCTGTATCTTGTTGAGGTCCATGACATCCAGGCCAAAGAAACCTGACCCCAGGCATCCCTAGGCTCTTGTGTAGCTGGGATTTTTTTTCTAGTTTATTTCTTCAACCAACTTCTTCACTTCATCTTCCTTTTCTCACCCCTGCACGGAATTACACTCAGGACAGACTCCTCCACCCATACTATCCCTCCCAACCCCACGAAACCACCCGATCGTCCTGAAGCTCCGCTGCAAGGGGCCCGCCAGGCTCCCCAGACATCTACGACAACGGCAGACACCGCGCCAGGAGCACACACGAGCTGTCTCCAAAGCGGAGCGGTGCCAGCGACTCGGTGGGGGAAGAGCTGCCTGGAGAAGGCTAATCATTCCCAGCCAGGCTGGCTGCAGCCCACTGCGGCTGCGCGGAGACAGCTGTGGGTCCATTGTTCCCGCAAGCAATGGCCCAGGGCTTAGATGGGGATCCAGGCCCAGTCTCAATGCTCAGCTAGTGGTCAGAATTACAGTTTCAAGTGTCCACTACTTAAAGGAGTGGCCTCGTGTCCAATGTCTTGATAAATCACCCATAAAGCTGCAGGAAGTGATGACCTTCGGGGGTGATCTTGATGATTTTCGTCTTTTCTTTTCAGATTATGCACGTGACCAAGATAAAATGCCTTACAGAGTATGGTTTACATAAATTACATGGCTCTGAAATGTCTATTTCGTATTCGGACATGCCTGTCTTTCAGCCAAGGGCGCTTTTGCATGTGAGTTTCACTAGGTAACTCCTCCCTCTGCCATCTATACTTAGTTACACTGGTTTGTCTTTTATTACTCTAAGCATGGCTTTTGAGTCCAGGAAATGAACGCATTGGCATTTTGGTTCATTCATTCATTCATTTCAAAAGGAGACTGCCGCTTTTGTGATGTAAAGATGTTCCCCGGGCAGTAATGGCAGCTTTTGCCGGAAGAGCGGATTTAACAACAAATTCATTATTCTTGCACAATTTTCCTCATGCCAGGAAAGCAGAGTGAGAGGAGCCTCACAGACGGCCGGGGAGGGGGGGGGAGGGGGGGATCTCCGTGCCCATGGGAATTCAAGCAGCAGAAAGGACTACAGATTCTCCTGGGCTCGCTGCAACCAAGCAAAAATGCCCCGCGCCACAAACTAGCAAATTAACTAGGACTCCTCCTGGTGTCCTTTACTCAAGAGTAGATACCAAGAGAATGGAAAAGGGTAGAGTTCATCATTGCCATTCATGCCTAAGTCAGAAATGAGAGATCTGAAACAGATTTAGACATAAAAAAGCACAATGTTAGAATTGGAAGAATCCATAGAAAATATGAAACTCAACTGCTTATCTTTCCTTATACTTTCCTAGTAGCCCCGAAGTGCCACCAATGTCTGTCCAGCAGTCTGTAGTAGGTTGTTGGTTTTTGTTTTTAGAGTTTTTAGGGAAAGAAAACAAATGCTTTCTTCACCTTTATGAGATTCATGGCTGACAGCCCGGTAACAAAAGACATATTAACAAGAGAAAAGCATAAGAAATCCATTTCATCAGTTTTGGCTTATTTTCTTATATGTATGGATGTTTTGCCTGTGTGTACATCTGTGCAGTATGTGTATGCCTGGTGTCTATGGAAGACAGAAGGACTGAGGGCGTAGGATCCTCTAGCACTAGAATTACAGAGGGTCATGAGCTGACTTGTGAACACTTTCAGGGTGGAGCTGGTCACCAGAAGGAATGAGACAAGGTAACTAAGTTGGGTCTTTTACCTAAACCACTTGAACATTAGAAGGCACAGAACATAAAGGTTAAGCTAGTCACCAATGGTGATTAATCATACATATGTAATGAAATGTCTATGAAAACCCTGGGCCTCTGGAAGAGCAGTCAGTGCTCTTAACTGCTGAGCCATTCTCCGGCTTCCATTTAACCAGTTTTATAGGGCATGGGGGACTTCAACTGAATACCTAAAGATGTAAAGAAAACTCTATATTCATGCATAAGGGAACTGGACGGTCCTGCAGACCTATTAGACACAAAGGGAGCATGACCTAGTGGTGACAAAGGGGAGAAACTTACCAAGGCTGTCTAGCTCCCGTTCCAAGAGTGGGCAAGCTGGGTGTCCGAACAATACCTGGAGACAGTGTTATAGCAGTTCAAGGTTTCCTCCCTCTGCTGTTTCCCCTGTACTTCTGTAAACTGGAGTTTCCATGGCTTCCTCCTCAGGCTTGATAAATTTGCTAGAACAGGTCACAGCACTCAGGGAAACATTTTACTAGCTAGATCTCTAAAACAATCTTTTTGGATGTATGTGTGTGTGGGGTGTGTGTGTGTGTGTGTGTGTGTGTGTGTGTGTGTGTGTGTTTACATGTTTGTGTGTTACATGCATGTGTGCCTTGAAATAATCTTTGTACACTGTAAGTATGTATTATTTTCATTGGTTAATAAAGAGCTGACTGCTCTATAGCTGGGCAGGAGAGACTGGGCAGGAGAGCCAGACTAGGAGAATGATGGGAAGAAGGACAGAGTCAGAGAGTCTGAATTAAAAAAGAAGAAGAAGAAGAAGAAGAAGAAGAAGAAGAAGAAGAAGAAGAAGAAGAAGAAGAAGAAGGTACTGCCACGTGGTATAGGGTAGATAAGAAATATGGGTTAATTCAAAAGGTAAGAGCGAATAACAAGCCTGAGCTACCGGCAGAATATTTATAATTAATATTGAGTCTCTATGTCCGTTATTTGGGAACTGGCAGGTGGGGGGGGGAAAAAGGCTGCCCACACATGTATGCATATAGTTGTATGCAAATGTATGTGCTTTCACATGGAGCCCAGAAACCAATGCTAGGTGTCTTCCTCAACTGTTCTCTTATTTTTTGAGACAGGGTCT